GCGGTGGCGGTGGCGGTGGTGGCGCTGCTGCTGCTGCTGCTGCTGCTGCTGCTGCTGCTGCTGCTGCTGCTCCTTGCTGATGCGGCTGTTGCTGTTTCTGTTGTGGTGGTTGGAGTGTTGATGGCGCTGGTTCTGGTTCGATTGTGCCCATGTAATTATATGAGTGGAGCTCCATGTGTGAACCAAAGCCCCGCTTCTATTACGCGCATTGACAGGCAGTCATTGCTGCCGTGGCAGTCCGCGAGGGTGAGGATGGACCATGCTTGAAATGCAAAGGGGCACTGGCAAGATCTGCAAGTACAGCATCATGTGGGGTGCGAAGAATGAACTTCAGTTTGAGGGCTGGAGCATGTAGCTTGTGTGCTTTGGGTGCTCTGTTGGTTCAGTGTAAGCTGCAAGGTTGGGGGTCTTTCAGCCGAGTCATGTCGGGCTCGCCTGCGTGGGGCAGGTGCAGAAACCCAAGAAGAGAAGTAAGAAGCACTGCGCTAGCAAAGCCTAGGAGTTTTTGGTACGAGGGCTCGGCCTTGCGCAGCCGCGAGTCCCCTGGCTCTAGTCAGGAGAGGAACACCGAGAAACAGTGCCATCGCAAAGGTGGCTTGCTACTGACCCAGGATGTCGTTGGTGGACGTTGCCGGCCGGACGCGTGTGAGGAGACTGCAGAGATCTCTGAGAGGGAGGCCGGGACCGAGGGATCGGAGATGGAGCTCTTCTTGCAAGACTTCGAGGAAGAGCGGAGGAAAGCATTGGCCCTCAGGCCAATGGTGAAGCAGAACACGCGAAGCTGAAGTTATCACTGCTGCCCTCGCTGGTCTTCCAGCATCTTGCTGCGTTCTGTAGACACCGAGAGGTGGCTCGAGTAGTACAGGTGGGGCAAAAGGTGGGCCAGCTGCAGTGCAGGGCTCAAGAGCAGCGCCAAAAAGAGTTGCGTGTCCAGGTGGCCGTGCAGCAAGAGCCTGTGAGTTGGTTGACGCAGTGAAAGCAGCAGCAGTCTAGTTGTCATATGGCTTATGAGCGGCGACAGCCGGCGGCTGAAGCGTTCTGTATCTGGACACAACGGTGTGAAAGACACGCCATCAGCCAGGGTCCCAACCGACTACTCAACGCCATTAACTCGTGTCAGGTAGATGCAGGCATGCAGCACGAGGCGTCAGCGAAGTAAGGTGGCTACATCAGGAGGCCTCTCAAGGCCTTAGCGTACATGTGAGCGAGAAAGTGATACTTATGATGCACCGAGCCGTGCTGCTTAAGAGGTGTCAAGTGGTCATTCTTATGAAGAAGGCGAAAATTCGGAGAAAAAAACATGTTGGGGAGACAACTTAAGAGCGATGGCCCCAACTCCACCAGGCGCCAGGTATGGAATTTCGACCGTAGCCCATCGGACACGCAGACTCGCGTTTGGGAGTGCCGCAAGGAACTGTGCCCTCACCGGAGCTATCAAAGCCCGCTGAGGATGCTCTGCTCCTATTGCGGGAATGGAGTGATGCTCCTCGGCTGGGCGTTTCGTGGCACTCGCGCGCTTGTAAATGATGCACAGCGCAGCATGCAGGGTGTATGTCAATTGTCGCAACTGTTGCGGGATCCCAGTGCTGGTAGTTTGCTTGCCGGAGACGTCTTCGCGTGGGACATGTTTTCAACACTTTGCACGGTCTGGGGGGGACGTGCTAGGATCCATGAGGGGGTTAAGGTTGTGCAAATGCTGGAGGATGTGCAGGTGCTGGACGGGCGCTCGGAGCGAGACCTTGCCGTGTGCCAGGGAGGGCGATGTAAGGAAGCTTTTGGGGAGAATGGTCGTCCTCCATGATTGTAAAGCACTTGGGATGGAGGATTTTTGGACAAGCTGAACGTATATACTGACGGCTCATCATACGCCGTCTGAGTTGGGATGAGGTACTGTAATCATGATATGCACAAGCCATTTAGCACCTTCTTCGAGTGCTACATGTTCGCTCTGCCTCAGAACTGGTGGGTCTACCGGCACCTTGGCGTTACAGCAGATTGCAGTTGTGCTCAGCTGACCGCGGCCAAGATGAGCTAGGTCTTGAGGATGCAGTAGTGTTTTGGGCTCTGGAGTTCCTTGCGGGGTACAGTTTGTGCATCACGGTGAATGTGGGGGAGGACATGGATGGGGGGCATTTTTGATGCGCGCAAGCTGCTGCGGCCAAGTTTTTCAGAGTCGGGAGGACGACTGCAAATGCCAGGAGTGTCCATCGGTAGTCATTCAAAGCCGGGGTTGCCGGCATGGTGAGGGACAAAGCGCATCGTGAGTGGGTCGTGGAATGCAGCTTTGCCCAACTTCTTTACCGAGACATTCCGGTGAACTGGGCACCAGCGTGCGTGGGAATTCCTTGACACATGCGGATGCCAGAGCTCGGTGGGAGGTTTCCAGGTTGTGAAGTTTGCCATGTACGCGACGGTGGCAGAGACGCTGCCCGCAGCACAAAACCTGGGCATGCCTGGGGATTCAGGGCAGATGATGCAAATTGTCTTTGTGCAGGCAGGGTGATGCCGCAGGTACGTGAGGCAAACTTGCAAGATTCCCCAAAACTTATCAGCTTCTTGATGTTGAAGCTAGGTTTCTTGTAGGACGGTGGTAGGGCAATTGCTTTGGACAACTGACAGGCTTCGAACATAACAGCCTGTCTGTCCTTGTGAGGGAGCCTCCTTTGGCCTCTGCATTCAGGGCATGCCGACCTGTAGCCAAGACCGGGAATGCACACGCACTTGTAGAGGCTTCCGCTGCTTGAAGGCTTTGGCTAGCAACAGAGCTGGCAACTCAACATTGCAAGTAGATAGGAGAAAGTGAGCTAGAATAGATGGCAGTGATTTCCAGTGGGCTGAATGCATGGTTGCCCCGTACGGACGCAGCTATTGGCTTTTCGGGTAAGATTCTGTTCTCGTTTAATGCGAATGTTGAAGTATTTTACGATTGAAGCCTGTCTGTGCATTGGTGCCCGGGCTCTTCAGTTTCTTGGTCCTTCTGCCACAATATGTTCCTTACAGATCGCAAGTCATTTGCAAGAGCCTTGCTCATGGTCCACTAGGCAGACGCGTGTATGCCATGCACCTCTGCAACTTGCCATGCTTTCTCCGTGAGATGTCCGTGACCACATCAGGCTAGGCAACTGGGGATCCGGCTCCGATTGCGGCTTCCTGCTTGCACCATGAACGCAGCGCCCATTTTTGGGAAGGAATTGGGGTAGAAAGACCCTCCTCTTCCTTCGCTCGTTTTCGTCGTTTCGCGTTGGTTCTGGCCCTTCGGGCCTCGAGGCTCGTGCCTTGGTCGAGGCTCTCTTCAACCTCCTTCCTGAACCCTCGGGAGCGCTTAACGGGGGCAGGGCAACTTCTGGTTTGGGGGCCTCTAAAGCAGCGCTCTGCAGGCAAGCCAAAACGAGCAGCATGCAGCATGGTAATTAATGTCATAACGTTGAAGGCGCTGTAGTTTTGGCCTCCCCAAGAAGCGGCTGCCGGCCGCAGTGTTGCGTATGTGACGTGTGGGGTTGCGGTCATGAAATGCCCGCGGGGAACATGCATCAATGCGCCATTAGGATATTCTGTGCATCTGTGAGGTCATCATGAGCAGTTTTCATTCAGGACTTGAAAGGCACCAGTCATTGTGGACAAATCGCTTTCTGAGCCTGTCACCAGAATTTGACCGTCCCCAGACCAAGCCCATGCAAATTGAGAATCATCCACATGACGCCATGGCACCAAAGCGTCCGCATACAATTTAGACTCAAAAAGCTCAATGCAATTTTTCTGAGACACAGGCATGTGCACATCACTTTTTTCATGCTGGCAAGTATTGCTTGACGTGGAAACGCGTATCTCCATCCAACTGTGCCCTGAAGGACAAAGCCTTGGCGTCGGCGAAGATGCACATGGAGAACTATCAGAAAACCGGAGACAAGTGTGGGGAGGCATCGTGCTTTGAACCTCTGGATGGCTCACTCTTGGCCAACGATTGTGCTAAAAGCGCAGGGAAGGAGTCAAAAGACATAAGATCACCGGCGTGAGGCTACAATGAAGCTTGCGTTGGCCAACGTTTACCTGGAAGCCAACCGCCTCCAGGATTCCGGATATGCGTTGTAAGCTTTGAGAGAACAACGGAGCAGCTGCCAAGCCAAAGGATGCCCTGCGATGGGCCATGGAGGCTCAAGAGGAGTTCAAGGTGCCAGTGCTCTTACAAAACAACCGTAGGAAAACTGAATGAGCTGAGGCCTCCCAGCTAGAGGAGAAAGAGGTCTCCGCTTACTTGACAATGGCAAAGGCGGGGCACCCAAGTCAGTGTGTTGTTGCAGATTTCCTGTCGCAGAGCCTCCTGAGGCCCTGCTGGCCAAGTGCGACGCGGCCGAGGCCTTGCAGCGATGTCCTCAGCAAATCTGATTCAGACTTTATTACTTCGCTGCCAACGCTGCCAGTATCTCCATGAACGGGCCCCGGAAAATCGTTCATCGGCAAGTTGTTGCTCAGGACATCGCAGAGAGCACTAGCTATTGCAGAAGAGGCGGATGACTCATTGTTCGTATTCAGAGCATGAGCCAGCTGCTTCTGCCTGAAAGTGGACACTGTTGCAAGACAATATTCCACACCATCCTCAGCAGCGTACCCGTGTGCCGACTTTGGTGGTGTAAGACCAACTGACTGTCTGATTTCACACTAGCTTCGGCCCTAGGCCTCAAGACTCTGTGTCAGACAAGGTCTCAGACAATTAGCAGTAGGCACTTGCTTGTCAGGTCGGGGACATGAGGGGCGAGGCGCTTTCCTTGCAGTGTCTGGCCAAGGCTCCACTACGATGCAATCGTAGGGTGGTGGGGTATGCCTTGCAATAGCTTTTTTCAAAGGGTGGCGTAGACGTTCGTGGCCCATGGATGCAAATTTTGCAGAGCAGAAGTTGTCTGCTTGATGTCGCATTCCAAGCGTTCACTGCTGCTTGGATGTACGATGCAGCATTTGTCCCGGGCTGATGGTTTTATTTTGTTTTGCCTTGCGATTCGTTCGTAACTTTTTGAAGCTTGTCCTGGGCATCCCCTTCGGGAAGCCCCTTCTTGATACTGCAGTGGCATGCCGTGCGCTGCATCGCTTTGGGCTTCTGCACGAAACTGCAAGAGCTTGTGTGGAATCACTTGGGTCTGCCGAGCCAACAATCCAAACTTACAATGCCTCGCTGAACTATTGGCTGCTCTTTGCCTTCTTACAAGGTATTGAGACACCTACAGCAAAACAGGGGGACACGCGGTAAAATTTTACCATTGTGGCACGGGGGGGGTATGGTCCACCCCCTCAGCATGTGGCGATCGATATGCTCCGCTGCTTGGAGTCCGATTTGATAGATTGGCCTGCCAAGGTTGGTAATTCCCATGCGGCTTTGTACTAGTTGCTGCAGGCCCTGTGCCAGAGCCAGGAGATAAAGGAGGCCATCGATGCCGCACGGCCCTCAGAGACCTCCCAGAGCTCCTCTAGCACCCCATGGAACACACAGGCCAGGAAGTCGCTGACCATCTTCCGCCAGTCGTCTGACTACAAGCAGCAGGCACCTCTCAATCCGCCAAGGTAACTTAGACCAGGCATGGGCTCCGAATGATGACGCCAGGCAGCGTCACTGCTTGCAGTGGCCTCCATTCACTTGGCCCGTGAGCGGCCGCAGGATGCGCTGCGAAGTGCTAAGGAGCCGCGAAGAGGTCAGCCCACCAGATATCTGCTGTTCGGTCTGACATGGCAGGATGCACAGCACCTCTCAAAGCGGATCGGCGATTCCAGAGGCTTGTAGTATTCAGGAAACCTTTCATGAAGCAGGCACCAGACTGGCCCAAAACCAGGAGTGGCGCATGCCCTGGTCGTAGTGGCCGAGGCCTGGGAAAGCGTTTTTGGGCTTAGGCTTAGTGGATACCTGTGATTCTTGAGCACGCAACTCCCACAGTGTAGCGCCCTACGAGAAACATGCGATTGATTCTTAACACTTGATTTTAATTACTCATTTTGCCCCGTGACAATGTTCTGGGAGGCTCAAGTAGAAAACGACGAGCAGCGTGAGGCGATGGTCTTGTTGAAGGAGGCGCAGGACCGATACCAGGCCAGACCCGCGCCAAGCTGCATGAAGCTGCATGATGCGATGCACAGATTTTGGACGAGTGTGAAAGTATGAATGCCTGCCAGGCTTTGAAGGATGTCCGCGGAGAAGTCGAAGCACTTCGGGTTAGAGCCAAGGCTGAGAGCTCCATGTGCAAGCGCAACGAGGCCTGGGACTCCGCACGATCAAGTATGGCTTCTGTAGCATTCTGTGGCCACAGGTAGTGTGACCGTGTAACCGCAGCTTGCTGCAGTCAAGCTCAGGCGCTTTCCTCCCTTCAGGAGGCTGGGGCTTGGAGTCCGGTTTGAGAATCGGAATGAAGCCGGATTGCACGTGCTACTTACACATGCTCAGCTTGTCGTGAGTGACGGCACACGCTGTGCCAAGCCTCGCAGCAAGTTCATGGATTCATGTCTCACATGAGTCAATCCCTGACGGAAGCCAAGCTGCAGGGTGTTGAGCTGGCAAGACGCATCGACGACAAGGTGGCGGAGGCGACGCTTCTCCGTCAGGCCACCCCTCATGCAGTTTGATCATGCAAGAGCTTCCCGAGTGCGGCTGTGTGTTGCGGTGTGAAATATTTGAAGCAATTTGGAATTGCTCAGTCATGCTCAGCGGTCTGACAGTTGGTGCATAAAGTATTGTGCAGACTGCACGGGTCAAGATGAACCTGCTGCGCTTGGAGGACGCACTCTGCTTTTACACTGGTGTCATAGAAGCAAAGATCATGCTATACAGGCTCGCAACTTTTTGGGGTCAATATGTCCCGTCATCACTACTGACGCGAGAGGCTGTCTCTATTCCACACAGCTTGTCATCCCAGGAGTGTGAGCAGCATCTGAACGAAGCCCAGGGCCTTTTTCGTGATGCACAGCACTGGCGTGGAGAGGCCAGGAAAATTAGCTTCAGGTCTCCAGCAGTCCCAGGCTCTCTTCCCAGAGGGCTATCTTGACATTGAAAAAGATGACTGGAACCGAGACCCAAAGCGCCTGGAGTGGCCAAGCTTCGAGTCATCGCTAGAGATCAGATAAAGCATGCGCATATCCACTCCGAGCATCCGTGAGGAATGATCATCATAGGAGATATGGACATCATACTTACAATCAGTAATCTGTGTGTTCTTTTTCCATTGTGCAGCGCCTTCAAGGCAGATGTGCTAGAGCTGCTGCTCCGGCAGCAGATCCAGGCCGGAAAGAGTGCTAGTCAGTTCTTGCCAGGCCCTCATGTATGATGCTGATGCAACTTCAGATTTTGCGATGTTCGGTATGTGTCAAGCAGGATCTGGAGTATTCCCACCTTCAAAACAGAAAGAACATCGAATAAGAATTGAAGTAGCTTTATCACGAAAACAAGGCTAGGCTTGAGTTCAGTCTTGCTTTAGCAGTAATCAGTAGCAGTCAAGGCTTGGAAAAACCGAATCACGTGATACATCACGGCATGGGGGTCAAATGTGATTCTTCCATAGAAAACTGATGGTTTTGGACGGGGGGGGGGGTGGAAGGTGATGCTTTACATGACCTTTTCTATCCTTTTCTTTTATTGGGGGCTGTCAGGAAGAGGATTCGCAGCAACAACATCATGTTCAGTTGGTAATTAAACGAGTAATATCATGCTTGTTTGTTGCATCAAATCTCTTGACCACCTGTGTGCCCGCGCGTGTTTCATAGTGCAGGAGTGTCTTGCTTGGTGGTTGTATCGAACCTCCCTTCTGCTTTTGTAGTCTTCGTTATCCTTACGTGGTCATGCTGCGAGAAACATCACGCTTAGTTGCTGAGAGGTAATTTGAAGCACTGCACGTGGTTGCATCAAGTCTCCCCGCCGCTCCTGAAGTGGTTGGTGCGAAAATCAGCATGCCTGGTTGTTGCATCCGGCTTCACTCTCCTTTTCGCAGTGTTCCCTACCCTTGTGTGGTCGCGGTACAAGCAAAATCATCGTTTCTGGTTACATCAGGCCTTCCCAAGCCCTGCAGTGTCCGCCTTCTTCTGTGGTGTTCATTGCCCCGGCCAGGTCATGGTGCGGTCAACAACATTCTGGGTGGTTGCATCAAACCTCCCTACTCACTCGCAGCGTTCATTTCCCTTGTGTGGCCTTGGTACGAGCAGCATCAAACTCGGTAGTTGCGTCGACATGCCCTACTTCCCTCTGTAGCTTGCTGCCCTTGCATGCTCGTGGTCCCGGTAGCATCATCGCGTTGGAAGGAGCTTGGCTTCAAAAGTTCTAAAAGTTCACACGGGCAGCATGTCATCCAATGATTACGTTCCAGCAATTCCGATCCCCCAAGCCTCTAAACCATGCAATCCTAAACCTCAAGCCTTCTGCGAAAAGCCAGCCCGAGCAACCTTTCCAAGCACCAAAACCACAAATTACGGAAAACATAACAAGAAATATGGAAGCACATGACCTGACTCCGCATTTCAGCATGATTGTTTGCAGCACTGTGCCAAGAAAGTGAGCTTGTGCAGGTAACCTCGAGAGATGCTGTGGGAACGGCGGATGAGTGGCGGCTTGCCTGGTGCAGTTGCATGCAGTGCTTCAGCACCGACCTTGTAGAATTCCTCGTTTCTACCAGCCAAGGCGGGCTCTCTTCTACGACGCAGGCGATCGGAAGGGTGAGGCCGGTGCTGCGGCGCTCATGGTGACACATTTATTTTGGAAGCTGTTAGAAGATTTGTGTTTCTTGCAGTTGCAGTCGCAGGAAGTGATGAGGAGTATAGCATTTAAGGGGCTTGCCCCATCCATTGGCTGCTCAGGCAAACTGCTTGCGCGAAGCAGCGCGGATGTTCTTCACAGTTGTGAGCTCAGTTTGATTTGATGGCTCCAGCGTGGTAAGTTAAAGGATGCCAAACGCTTCGCAGCTTCCCAGGCTGGCTACGAGCAAGATGCAGAGTCAAGGGCCCAAGAGGCTCGCGGGGTCCGAAAACAGGCACCTCTCTAGCCCTCCATGGGTTCAAGTCCCAGCCCAGCCATTGCAGAGGAGATCAGTGCTCCAGTGTACAGCAGAGATGTAAGGCTGTGATGACATTCTATCGTGCCAGGCACTCGCTATATTCCAGGAGCTCGAGGACGGATTCCGGCTTCTGCTCGGACGCAGCCACACTGCCCCGTGATTCTGTTTCAGGATCAGACAGGTGAAGCTCGAACACAACTGCTTCTGGCCGAGGCACTATCTGAAGCAAACAAAAGAAGCATACTGATGGCCTTTTGTAGCCGGAGAGTGAGAACGAGGATGGTAGCAGACCAACGTGCACAGAGAGCAGAGCTTTAGACCTGATTAGGCGTGTACCTTCCGGGCAGTCTCCAGGGAGCGTCGCAAACTGGGGTAGCCAGGCTTGATTTGTCAGTCAGCGACAGGTCCACTCAGGATTTGGAGACGTGCCGACCCTGAGCAAGCGGCAGCATGCATTGGTGAAGGAGTTGAGCAAATTTGTGAAGTGTAAGCAGGGCTGCTTGCAGTCAAATGATGTTAACGTGTTACCCAGATTCAACGAACGCTTTGGTGCACTTTCCATGTAGATCATTCGAAGCTGTTTTCGTTCAGATGATTCGTGTTTGGAGTGAGGTGCGCCGCGGAGTACAGACGGCGGAGGAATCCCTGGAGCTCTTCAAGCGGATTGAGGCCTTTAAAGCAACTCAAAGCGATTCAAAGCCTTCGGTTTGTACCAAATCGCCGTCGCAGTGAGGATCCCAAGGGCCAAAGCGATGCCTACGCGGTCCTTGCACGAGCAGATTGCCAAGGGAAGATCAAGCAGATCGTGAGAAAACGAGGCAGGTTGAAACTTGCAAGACACGTTTTGGGCTTCCGAGGTGCAGATGCTCGAAGATGGTGGAGATGCAGAGGTGCTTTTATGGGAAAGTGAGGTGTTGCCTGTTCTGCGCACCAGCCTGCACTTCACAGGAGGCTGCTTCTGCTGCGGAGAAGTCCTATCAGCTTGTGAAGCGAGCGCGGAAAGGCGTGGTAGTCCTTGTGCTCTGTTCTTTTTGGGTAGCTGCGCCGGCTATGCTGGGTCTAGCATGGCTCATCCCAACAAGGAAAGGTTACAACAAATTCGGATCTGGGTGTTGGCATTTTGACGGTGCCTGGCGAAACGAGACGTCATGATGTATGCAGGATGGGCGACGCGCCAGATGCCAAGACAACATCTCCTGATTTCAAATCCACTGTGGGCACCGTGCTGAGAACACGGATGTGGTCACTTGGTCGCTGCGTGAGCCCAGGCCGCATCGAAGTGATCTCTCTCCAGCTCCTAGCCGAAGCAGGGGCACGGCCCTTGCTTCGAACACCAAAGTCCACCGCAGTTCTTGCTGCGTGCGCCCGGTGAGTCCTTCTCGCGTTTGTTGCCAAGGTGGCCAAACTGGTCAAACTGGCAGGGGATGAGGACGTCCAGGACTCGCAATCTCGTAATTACAGTGTTAGACATTGCCACCCTCAACAGCCGGAGAGTGGCTATCCTACAGATCACTCCCACCAAGAGCTCAACAGCCAAGAGGAAGTTCGCGGGCCGTGCTGAATCCAAGCAACAGCGAATGCCGCGACAGCCACACCTCCGATTGAGGAAAGCACCCTCCCCCAAACGCTGCACAAGTCAACTAAGCAAAGCACTTTGCAAGGCATTGATCATCATGATCAAGCAATGTTCTGTAGCGCCACAGATGTGACATCTGCAGTGTGTTGGAGCAATATCCCGCATTGACATGAGCTAGTTTGCGGTGCTCACATTGACATGGCTTCATGCAGCAAGCAGTATCCTGGCGTTTGACTTTTGGAGACGGTTACTGCTTTGTATTGCCAGAGAGGACAAGAGCCAGGAAGAGCAGGACGGGTGCAACATGCCTCTGCTTGCGCAGCATCAGGGCATCATCTTGGAATTCATGACTTGGGCCCCGGGAGTGTCAACAGAAAGACTCTTGGAAGGACATGTTGCAGGGCATTTTTGACAAGGCACGGCTCCTCATGCAATATTAGGTTGAAGGACCAACATTGTCATTCAGTAGACAGCCAGCCAAATGTTGCGGCAATATGCCTGTAAGTGATGTTGTGAAGTGATCCATACGATTCTGCAACCTCAGTCAGGCGAACTCCCGTTTGTCTGAGGCGCACCGAGCTGCAGAAATGGCGGTAGATCGTGCCGGCTCCATGGATGATCGCCGCATGGAGGTGAATGCCGGTAGTTCTTTTCAGGATGTTTTGGAGGCCTTTTTGCAAGCTTGGCACAGAAGTTTTTGAAGGCTAGCGCAATGCGCACCTTGGCCAATGTCTGCCTTGTTTGCAGCGATACGGAGACGGCTGCCGAAGCAGCCAGAGAGGCCTTGAAGATTGCCCAGGAGGCAGGAATTTTCATGATCCATTGCTCTCAGCGCCTGCTGCGCCTAGAAGAGTAAGCACGCCGATTCTTGCAAGTTCCGGGCTTCCCACAGACTTTGTTGGCGCCTGCAGGGCCAGCATTCCGTAGCGCGCAGTACTCGCAGTAGAGTTCTCCCTACCCCGGACCTGACTTGCTTTCCCTGGCGGTGTTGAGCCTCATCAACGTTTTACTTTTTTGCTGTTCATCACCGCCGCTACGCTAGCTCTCTGGTGCGAACGCACTTCTAACAAACATTGTAGCTGCTTCCCCCTGTAGAAGCTGAACCTGTTTGCAGGTTGTGGCATTTTGAATATATGCATGACTAATCCGGTAGTCTAGGCGGTAGCCGCTACATGTTGACACACGGTTGAGACACGTATATAAATATATATATATATATATATTTATTTATTCATGTGTATAAATGATTTGTGTATACATATAGTTGATGGACCATGAAGCCTACACATGCAGTTTGCAAGCACAACGTGCATTTACCAACTAGAACCTCAGCAGAATGCCCGCCATGTTGTGGCAGCCATGCTTTATTCGGCGCTTTCTGTTTGACCACCTCTTGTGAACGGCCCTAAGTATCCGGGCGACCACAGCTCCTGCCAGAAGAACTAAGATGCAGCCATGGATGCAAATCTTGGCACAGATGCAGGAATACAAGCTTTGCAGACACTCTGCAAGACGGAGAATATGTGGGAGGGAATTCATGCGGAGATGGATAAGTTGCTGGCTGATGCAAAGAGGAAAAGCTCCGATAGCTGCTTGCAAGACGTTCAATCTGAGGAGAAAGATGCCTTGGAAACCTTAGCTTCCAAGGCGAACCTAGACAGCAAGCTGCTCCCCAATTTGCCACAGGCCCTGGGCCACCAGCTCCTAGAAACAAACTGCGCCCTGCTCAGGCGTGTAATTCATCCCTTGGTGGCGAGAATTGTAGAAGCCATGCGTCGAGACCCAGAGTGCAGGCGTAGCGCATGGAGTGTGGAAGGCGCTGATTTCGACAATAACTATAACCCCAACACATGCTGGGCTGCAGCATCATGGCATCCCGGATCTGTTCGACCGCTGAAGCATCCTGACTTGAAGAAGCTCTTGGAGGTGATTGGCGGCCGAGCGGGGATCTACAAGCAGGTACTTCAATATTTGAAAGAATTGTCAAGGCAAAACGCTGTGCTTCCCGTGCTGCGTCTAGACGATGCTAATTCCGAAGGCATGCCTGTCTCACGAGGACCTGAGCCTTTCCTGAGGTCGGTACGCTCCAGCCTGATTTTAGCCGCTGTCAAGGATGGCATTCTGCTCAAAAGCATCCTTGGATGGTGGAGCGTAGAAGCTGCCTGGCAGAACAATGAGCGTAAAATCAACTACAAGATATGTTTGGAAGCAGGGTCTGCTGGGGTTACGAGCGGTTCGTCCCAACTGCCCGGCGTCCGGGAAGTTACTTGGGAACTTCAGGGATCGCGGCTAAAGATATTGCAGAAGACATTGACCCAAGTCTTCAGCTGCAACTGTGACGTGTCGGAAGATCGGAAGCGCTGGATGAATGGCACTTGGGAGAGCCGATCCGCGGGAAGTAACGGGTCAAAAGAGTTTCAGGGAACGTTTGCGGCTTCAAAGGTTGGGTCGCTGCGTTATGCTGATGCGAGATTGGAGGAATGGGATGAGTTGGCTGATTTTGTTGTCACCTGCGCCGATATGAGTGAAGGTCCGATACGAAGCTCGGATTCGTGCGACATACACGCTGTAGTAAGCAACTTGATACAGGAGAGGGCTGATGAGCCACAAGAAGCTGTGCGGGAATTTGCGGCCGACATGACATGGCTGACTGCAGACCCTTGGATATGGCAGCTTCTCTTGTTCATTCTTATGATCTGGAGTGCTTGTCATCCAAGCCGGCGACAGGGCCTTCCAACGTCTGTAGCTGCGGCCCTTTACATGCTGCACTGCAGCGCGGCATGCCTTGAGGGCAGGAAATGCAATGACATCCACCGCATACCTTTGACCGAGGCCGAATTTGCGGAGATGGGCTTGAGCATCCCAGACATAACAGGAGCACTTCACAGCATCGCAAAGCAGAAAGTGTTTCCCAAAGAACACGGTGAGTCTGGTCTCTGCATGTCGTATCTTTGCCACGACAAGTCGAGTGATGAGAGCTTTCGACCAGCGCTCGAGCGGGCCATGCAGCATGCTGGAGGTCAGGCATCCGCAGTCACCACACTGCGGCTGCTGCTTGCTGCGATGGCCGGTCAGGCATGCTACCTGAGGAAGAGCGAACGTTTAAAAGTTTGCATGGAACTTGCTCCCAAGTGGCACGTTGGTACAGGATCTGACTGGGTTGAGCAGCTGTTCGTTGACTGGCTCATGAACACCACCTGGCACCGGCATTGGAAGCTGGAGCCGTACCTTTATGAGCCTTTGGTGGAAGGATTTCTGAAGATGGCTGCAAGGGATGCAATGATCCATTTCAGGCTTTTGGTCTTTCTGGAGGTATGGTCTCGAGCAACGCATTGTGGTCAGATACGCAGGGAGTACCTTGAAAAGTGCTTTCAAGAAGACATTCCTTCTGAGGCAAGGTGTCAAGATGACCACTATGCCTGGAAAGAGCATTTGGCCAGCCTCTATTATGTGAACTCCTATAAGATGGAGCCTGGGCCAGAGCCTGCGACATTGCCACTACTGTCAGCGGCGCCGCTGACAGCACTGGAAAGAAATTTTCCTTCAGAGTATCTCCGAGAATGCTATGAGAAGAAACTACTGGAGGATCCGCCGTCAAAGTCCGCTGCAGTTTTCCTTCAGCGGGAGCACGAATGGTCGGTTGAGGTCCCGAATTTGCCTGCACCTCCAAAGAAGCCGAGGAGGATGGTGCCCAAGCCCCCTGGCAATCCCTGAGTTGCAAAAAGGGTGAAGATGCGCTCTGCTAGCTTTACTAGCTTCAGCTAGACAAACTCTGAGCACAGAAAAGCCCGCTCAAGCGGCAACAGCGGCAAGCAGCCAATAAAGCTTCTGTGGCTTTGCCCCTCCATTTTAAAGCCCGCCATCTTTGCAGGTTGGAGACAAGAAGCTGGAAGGTACCATGCTCTGCATCAATGCAGAGGTGAACGTTGCCTCCGCCTGAATCCAGCAAACTGGGAAGCTAGGTCCAAGCTGCCAAGAGAATGCTCAGTACAGTACATGCATTGTAAAGCGGCTCCTTCATTGTCGGCTGAGGTGGAAAACTATATGGGCAAGGCGAATGAGCAGGCAGATTGGGCGTCATTGCATGATGCGCGCGGATGCATGCGGCTAACCGGCGGCTTTTCTTTCTGTGCAGGCGAAGCAGGCGCTTGGCATCTTCCGTGAGTTACGGGATGCTGAGGGCGAGGCCAGATGCTTTGATCTTTGGTTTTGCCGCTGAAAGCTCCGTAAAAGCGTTGCCCATGTCAACCTCAGATCTGCGATAGCAAGCAATACTACTTGCTTCGTCTGGCACGGGTCTAGAAAGCTGCACACAACTTCTCCATCCTCTTTTCTTGCTTTGCAGGAGTATGCAAAGAGCATTCTGGACCAGATGTATGGCACTTCCAGGGGAGGTGTTGTGCCTCGACTGAAATGTTCATCAATCTGCCGCATGACCACGACTTGCTTTCATTCCAGCACGTCTGACTGAGGCAGCAGGACCGGGTGCTGGAGTCCCAGCTTACGAGGCATCCAGCTCATGGGAGATATCTTGCTTTGCGTCCCGCACCCAGCCTGTGAAATAAAGAGCCTGCTGTGCCAGACTGGGATGCCCACAGCAGCAGCTGCTGCATCTTCTGTGGCCATGGCCGTGTCAGAGGGGCCAACGCGGGACGAAGTGCTTGCCAGAAAGTTTAGACTTAGACAGAGTCTAGGAGTGAGTATCGAGCAACTGCCACGAAGATCTTCTGTTTGCAGATAGGGTTTTTAGTCAGCTGCTTACAATTGCTCGAAGGAGTACATCATGGAAGGCCTGCGCCAGCTTTCCAAGAATGTTGTGGGTGACGACATTGATGTGCGGCCCTTGGATCTGAGTTGCACCCGGCTAAGTGACGGGCACCTCTTCCGTTGCTTGGTTGAAGCAGTAAGTGAGCTCATTGACCTGACATGCTTGCCAGATGGATTCGCCACTCATGGAAGCTGGAATGGACAGTCTGTCCAGTGTCGAGTTCCGCAACCAGGCATGCCTAAACTATGATCAGCTACAACGTCAAATTGGGAAGATGATTGCCAGGTCCGAAATTTGGTACCCGGCATCAATTTGCCTGCCTCTATGGTCTTCGATTACCCGCTGGCGTCCCAGATTTGTTGCTTTTTGCCGCAATATCTGCAGAGCATGTAGAGAACAGCAGATTGCTGAGGAATTTGAAGTCGATGACGGACTTCATTCATTCGAAGACTTCAGAAGGTTGATCGGTAGTTAGGCCTCTCACCATGGAGCCGAGGAGACGTTCCTGCTCAGTCACTGGAATCAGAAGCCTGTATATGCACCATCCAGTTGGCAGGGTCTAGATAGCACTGCGCAGGGCAAAGGGCGTGAGCTGGGCCCCTCTGCTTCAAGCCTATGGTGAGCCATTGTGACGAGCCATCTTGATCCTCGGCCTGGGAGTCGAAGAGTGTTTCCCGCGTGAGATGGAGCAAATTGGCGAGCTCCGCTTAAGCACTGGTGCAGTGCGTTATCAAATGCACTGGCATCTTCATTGGCCTTAATTAATGCGGAAGCTCAGTGGCCCGAAACTTGTTTAGAGTTTAGAAGACTGCTTGGGCAGGCGATGCCTGAGATTTGAAGATGTGGGCCTTGCAGCATGGGTTCAATCCATGAAGTGCTAAGTGCATTTATTCTGTATTCTATGTGGCAAGTATTCCCCCAGCCAACTCCCACGCTGCAGACGCAAAGCCCCTGTCCCACAAGGCCAGCATTCTTCCGCTGACAAAAGGTGTTTGAGTTGCTGGCCATTGCTTGTCTTGTGGCCCTGACATCCGCAACTTGGCTGTAACAGAAGACATCGGATTCCCTCCAGGACGCGGAGATGAAGGGCTTCGTCGATGGTTGCATGGCAAAGCTCGGAGCGGCCGCCTGCTTGGCATCGCGTCAAGTTGCATCTACATGGGATTCCTGACGAGGGCTGACCAATCTGACCAACTGTGCTGGGAGTTGTGTTGCCGGCTGAGCAAGGCAATGGACCAGGTGGTCGGGGCTACGGCAGTGCTGCGCTTGGGATTGTCAGCTAGAGTTTGTAGGCAAGGAATGGTTGTGTTGGGGATGGCTGGCAAATGCGGACACGCCAGGGCCTTTTTGATACTTCTAGCCTTGTGCCCTGTGCCGCCTTGCTGTGGGTGCACGCGAGAAAGCTGAACTTACTGGGTGAGCTCGAACACTGTGAGAATGGAAGATCTTCATGCCCCCAGCCCGGTCATTCTCATGAGCACGTTGATAAGTCTCCTCAATGTCAAGGTGGATCTGGACTCCCGCTTTGCTTCCATTCGCACAAAGGCCTGCTGCTTGGAGTGGTTTCTGGCGATTTCAGTGGAAGGGCAGCTGCGCAGCCCATGTCAAGATCCTGTGGCCCCGTGAAGTTGGCACAGTCAATGCTGTTACCGCTTGGCGTGATGCAGCCTCAAAGGAGACGAACATCGGCAACTTTGTCACGGATGTGATGCGGCACGCCCTGAAGGCCTTGTTGGGTGCCAGCAACTCTGCTAATTCAAGCAGAGTGCACTGATATCATGCTCGGATAGACGCCAGCCTAAAAGACAGATTCCGAATTTTGCTGAAGCATCTGAAGCCGTGCCAGGCGGACGTAGCGATGCTCAATAGTGGCACTTTGCGGGCAGATGCCGTTATCGAGCAAGGCAGCTGCAAAAATACTTTCTGGGTCGTGCTTGCTATGGCAGCAGTATAGTATAGACTTTGCCATGCTAGTCACATACAGTGTTACAGCTCCAATGTCCGCTCTCGACATATGCTCCTTGAGCAATCGCTCGACATGCATGGCCTTTGAACAGCTGACCGACCCGCCATAGCCGCATGCACTGCAAGGGCTTGTTTCTGAAATCCAGTTGCAGGAGGCAACAGGTTGTAGCTGAAACGCGCTGGTGTCTGGCCCAGCTGATGAGGTGAAATCAAAGTCAGGGATCTGGTGAATCTGCTACCCATGCTGGACGAGCTGTGCTTGTTACAGCTTTCTGGGGCGCAGGCAGGGAGGGCAGCTAGTCAGCTAGTTACGATGGATTGGACGTGGTTAGTATTTGCAGGTTCTGGAGGCGCTGGAGAATTCTGTCTCACAGTACCCTCGTCTTGAGGGCCGGTTTGCGCAGGCGGGCCCAGCGAAAACACAAAGATGCGATCTCCGTGGCGTCCTTTTTTGTGCGGAGGTCAGTGGCGTGTCCTTTCAGTTCGATGCGGCAAAGCCGCCGAACCATCGGATCGTTGATGGCAGCGTGCGGTGAGGGGCCCCAGCCGACAATAGGCCAGCGGACGCCAGCGACATCCAGATATCCCCCCAATCTCATCAAGGATGATACAAGTGCTAACTCAAGCTTGAGATTAGTGACTAGCGAATCCTGGGCAAAGCTTGTCACACACCAACTGGATATCTCTGCTAGGATCGGCACAGACCTTCTCGATTTGGAGAAGAATTACAAGCTTTGTACAAAGGAGCCAAAGTTTGGGAGGGAAAATCTTGTGAGTTGATTGCAGCATCCCATCACAAGATTATCAGTCCACGAAGCCGGGGAAGTCCACTGTAGCAGCTCGCGTGTTGCCGTCACGACTTGCAGGACTACCTGCGCCAAGGGAAAGACGGCTACGACGTCTTCAGGGAAGGCATCTGCAAGGAGCTTAAGAGCCCAGTGGAAGATTCGTGCCATAGGATCATGGTGAAGAAGAGCCTGCAAAAGTAAATTTGAAAGCCCAGGCCTTGCGGATGGTGAAACGGCCGGGATCCTGCCCTCGCTGGCTCGAAGCCAAGAGGTGCACGCAGAAAACACACAGACAACACGCACAAACTTTTTGAGGTGAGGGACTGCTTTGCAAATCTGGACATGCTGAACGGGTGCCGGGCTGAGAAGCCACGGGGTCACGCACCGGCAGACCTGCAGAATCTAGAATTTGATGCCCCCTTCGGCGTTGAAAAGTGCCGCAGCAAGCCAGACCTGTGCCAGCATCATACATGTATGAATGTTTGTGTGACATTCCGCGGATATCAAGGGAGAGCGATGTGGCGAAGCGTTCCTCCACCTTCAACGCGGTCAGGCACGCCTCTGTGAATTGCAGATAGCATCTTATGATATCTGATGGACAATGTCCGCAAATAACGAGGCAACATCATTATGATGGAACTTGTATGCCTCTGCATTCCGAGACGTCGCCCTTTTTTGTTGAGCCTGCAGGATGCTGGAGACTTTTAGCCCATCCAAAGCATTGGTCTTACGCTGGCCTTATGGCTTGGGCCTGTGACCAAAGCAGGGCCGGATTAATGCCTGAGGTCGGTGATGGACCCGAGATGCTCAAGCGGTATGCCATTGATCCCGTGGTTGAGGTCGTTTCTTCTCTTTTTCTGAAGCTGGCCACAGTTGCAGGACATGCAGGCAGTCAGACAGTTTAGAACCAGCTAAAGCCGTGCAGTGCAGCTTTCAGGGTTGGAGTTCTTAGGTGTTTTAAGGTCTCATGCCTTTATCATACACGGAGCCTAGATACAAGGATAGTCAGTCTGATATCATTGTGCTCCTAAGACTAAGGATTAGGACTTCAAAGGGCTTCTGCCAGCTCCGCAACTTGGCTCAGAGTCCATGACGTACTGCTGCACCCTTTGGCAGACGAAGAGCATATGGTGCCAAGAGTCTGAGCAATGCTTTTTGAACAGTTGAAAGCAAACAGAGTTCTACCTGTTCATGTCTGCGCCTTCGAATGGCAAGTGTGGCGGGATCGGGATGTGCGGGAGCCGCCCAACTTCGCCACTGGGCCGGGGTCTCAGCTCACCTCGGGGAGATTCAGAGCAGCATTCGAGCAAATGCATTTGGAAGATGTTGTTGTCTTCAAAGGAGGCAAGGTTTGTGGCAAGCAACTTGCGCAACGCTCCATCCCGGGCCGTGGTGTCATTCGGCGTCTGAGTCCCCTCAATCTCCCTCAAATCCTGCAGCCTCAATGCAGGGAGCTATTCTTTAATGCTTCCATCACCTTCTAAATTATCGTCCTGGACCTCAGGAGTTTGCCTTCAGCAAGGAGGAGCTGCGAAAACCGCTCTCTGCCAGAGCTGGAAGGTGCGCTTGCGCTTCTTCTTGTGCTAGGTGTGCAAAGGGTCCGTCACAGCGTAATCGCAGGCATGGTTGACAATGCTGTTTGCCCAGAAATCCCTTGAATCCAAAAAAATGTGGCGAAGGAGCCCCCGCGCCAGCCCCAGTTGCGAGATGCTGCAAGCACTCCTAGCTTCAGCGCGCACTCCCCTGCAGTCTGTAAGACCTCCTTGCCTTGAATTCTGCTCCGCAACTGCTCAGCTGCGAACATCTAAACACAGTCCGGTGGAAGCCGTGCATGTTTCAGACGTCCTAGCTCCAGCAGCTTGACTCATACCACTTCCAGCAGCTGTCACACTTTCAGCCGTGGTCACAGCCTAACGTGACAGCCCTGGGGGGATTTCAAGCCCATGTGTGGACATACACGCATTTTCTTCTGCAACATGTCGTCTCAGCACGGTCCGAATGGCAGCCATGAAAAAAACCCCACACAAGTGCCGAACTTAGCCTGTGCTGCCCTGCTGCCCATGACAGAAGGCACAAAGCTTGCCTGCTTATTGCACGTGAGTGGCTAGAGTGGGCTAGAGATTCGGTGATGTCATGTGGTTTTTTGAAGTTGACATGCTACTGGCTGCTTCAGCTCAGCGTAGTTAGGCCAATGTTCATGAAAGACCATTTGCAGAGACTGGTCGAGATCTTCAACATCATGTACATCAAATCATGGCAGGTGGTGTTTGTGGGTGTCCACAGTCACATGAGCGATATGATTGCACCGTCTCACTCAGCCTGACAGCTCTGTATCCTTCTTCTCTACACAGAATTTAGCAACGCAGCTAAGCTCATGACTCAGTAGGCAAGGGTGAAGGAAACATGGCGTCTGATGCCCGGAGCATGGATACTTTGTCACGCTTCGCCAGCGGAAGCCTCAGCAAACCGTCATCCTCATCATCATCAACATCATCGCTTGCACATGCCCTTGCCTGTTCTCAGCTTGCTTGAGGCGGAGGACAAGGTTCTGTTGAAGGGAACAGGCCTGTGGTTGCATACCTTGTTGAATGAATGTTTTTTCGTACGTTGCTGATGGCGACTCACGTATGTGAGAGGATTCGTCGCCTGGCGCTTCACTTTGCGCGACCTCTGGTTGCAGCGGCTACAGCTTCACAAGAGGAAAAGGAAGCACATGCTGCTTGGCAGAGCACAACAGTTGCCCACAGAGCCCCAGTTTTACCACATTGTCATGAAGGGAATGAAGTGCGGCAGTCTTTTCCGCTGACTTGCTTGCCAAAGGTAAAGTCTTTCGTGAAAGGGCTGCTGGCTCATCTCCTCATTGTCCCACCTTGGGTCATCCCACCAGGCCCATCTGATGCAGAAGCTTTGAGCCTGGCAGCGTTTGGACCCCATTGGCGGCCCAGGGTTACTTCTGGGCAGTTTGCTAACTGCTGGAGCTCCTTTTGGCGCAAAGGGCCTCGTGGCCACCATGGGCGACATCCCTAGTGCAGCTCTGTTGGACAGCCTGGTTTGGCTTGCTCTTTTTTTTTTTCCCTAGGACTCTAGGTCTTGCTATGCGCAGGTGTCGGAACTGGACTCATGGCGGGTCCCAAGGCACTGCGACCTGCTGCTTGGACCGAGAAGCATTGTCGTACGTGTTCGACTTTTGGAAAATGGACTTTCACAAAGGCTTTGTGTGCGTTGGTCTTGCTCTTGGCAGCCAAAGCGAAGAAGGGCACAGTGCCTGGGCTGATGAAGAGGGGATCGCTTCGTGACAGACGCTGTGCCAAGAAGGGGGGTTGCTGAGACAGTGGTTTAGGCGATGGCCGGGGCTATCTTTGCCTCATTCCTGACATGGCTGGTCACTCGGTCGGGCGACTTGGATCTGTCGCTCTCAACACGCAGTTGCAATGGGCGTGGGATGACTCGTGCAGGGGCAGCTTACAGTCTGCTATGTGAGCCCAGGAACCATTTCTCCAAAGCCTGAGTTCTTCCGCTTCGTCAGCACGTGGGCAAAGGCGCAGATTCAACACGCCGCGCCACTTTGATGTATGCCATTGGCAAGTGCCACATTGTCCAGGACTTCTACACTGAAACTGCATTGCGCGGTGCCTTGAGCGACATCCGACCTACGAAGAGCTTCTTCGGCTTCCATCCGCACGGCTCCTTGGCTCTTGAGCTTGCAGAAAATGCAGCAGTTTCGAGAGTTTCGAGACAGATCCGGGGTTCTCTTGCATACGCTGATCGCATCAGGATGTCTCTGTGCTGGGTTCACCATCAATGGTGCCTACAACCCAGACTTCATCCGAGCCGCCACCCGAGTGGCGTGGCTATGTGACAACAACCTGAGGCAGCAAGTGAAAGTCAAGCTGCCCTGCCTTCCAGCCGCGTTCAATATGTAACAACCGAGCAGCCCTTGCTTCATTGCGTCTCTACATGTGTTGCTTGCAAGTTGGGTGCCTTTGCAACTGGGATCTCAAAGCAAGGAACCAGACGAAGCAACTCAAAATGACACGTTTTTTGTTGTGCCGGCATCTGGTTTCAACATATCATTGCAGACTTGAAGCCCTTTTGGAGATCTTGTCAGCATGGCTTTTGATTCGATTTCCATGCACTGTGAAGTTCCATTTGCTGTCACGTGATGGCCGACTCGAAGGTGCCTAGGTTTAGCAGGCGAGAGGGAGACAGGGTGAAGGAGCAAACACAGTCCCTACCCTCATATTACTCTCCGATAGCAGCAGAAAGATGGGCACACCCTGGTCCAGCACTCAATCCTCCGTCCAAGATGCTCAGCGCGGCACGGGCCCACTGAGAGTTCAGGGGGAAAGTGGGTGGCAGCTCAGCTCAGACGGAGACCCCGAGAAAGGCCCAGACTCTACAAAGCACGCGAATAAGTATCGAGCAAAAAGTACTGATCCCATTTTGCAAAGATTTGCAAGCAAGGCGGCTTGGCCGCCCATGGGCAGCAGAAACTAAGACTTAGATTGCCTTGTCTCATGATACGTGTTCGCGAAGGTAGTATGCTTTACTTCATGTGGTCATGTGGCCCGTGGCTGCAATTGGAAAGAGTCTACCTGCGGCCTGCTTGATGCAGGCACAAGAACCCTGGTTTTCAGCTGATGAGCGAGGCATACCAAGCCGAGGAGTAGTTTTCTGCTCTGCGAGGCAGAGGTATGTTCCGTAGAGAGATGGTTGCGATGTCTTGCTGCGCAGTGTTGACTTTGCTGGTGCGAAGGACAGAGCAATCGAGGCCTGTGATCCTGAAGGCCCAGCCCTCTGCATCTGCAGCTTTGAGCATGTGGATCGGGCAGTGTCAATGCCGGATGAACATAGTTGTGCAGTGGCATGTAGCGACGGGAAAGGGGCTTGAACACCCTTTTCTGTCACATCTCTGGCCGAGTGCTGTGAACGTTGCAGACGCCAGGTTTCAAGCTGCAGATGTCCAAAGGTGTGAATGTCTGCGCCCTCACGGCGATCTCAGTCGGGAGAGAAGCAGACAGGTCCTTACGTCAATGCTGAGGTCGCTTTCATTCCCGGCGGCTTTCTGGACGCAGTTGCCTTCGAGTTTGGTAAGGCCCCTGCTTGCGACAAATCGATTTCCGCAGCCGGAGAGGGCACGCAATGTTGGGCAGTACCTCTTGTCAGGATGTCTGCGTCCTTCGCAAGAAGAAGGGCTTCATCAAGTACTGCCTTCAGTGCCTCGGACGAAAGGCACCAAGATTGTCCAATCACATCCAATCAACTGCACGAGCGAGGTACGGATACCGCGCCCACCCTGTTTACACCTTCGGAGAATGTGAGACGTAGCTCGCCACAAAGTTCTCGCGATATCGTTGCAATGTGCAAGGCTCTTTCAAACCTGAGCATCCCTAGGTATCACACTTTCCGTGGCATGAAGGCCTGGCGTATGAAGATTGTGTGGGGCTCATCCGCTGCAGGGTTTTCGCACAGTCATATGTCATATGCCGCATGTTATGTCACGAAGGGGAAGTGATGCATCCGCAGCACGTTTTGTCCCAGCTACTCGGAAAGTGCGTGAAAAGGACGCCAGACCATGTACTCTGCCTTGCTGGTAGCAACCGTTGCCGTTGTGGCAGCAGAGAAGCAGGACGTTTCCAAAGAAAGCGGGCTGTATATGTATGATGACCCACCCTTGCTTCTGCGCTTCTTTTGGGTGGCTGGCACAATTTGTGCAGTGCTGGCGGTCTGTATCTCGGTCTACAACATCAAGAACCATGCTGCGTGTGCAACTTTGCAGGGGTTTGGACAAGACGAACTTATCTCATCATTCGGGGCTCGTGACTCTAGGCGGCAGACAGTGACCAGAGTTTGAGTAAGGCTTTCTTATCCCTTTGGAAATTCTTCCTGCTGAAGGCAACTCGCATCATGAAGCTGCTCCTGATGCCGCTAACGTTTGCAGTGACGGCCGCATTGCAGATGTTCTTACCGGGGGCAGCTGAGCTTATGGCCTTGCTGCGGACCTGTCAACTGGCATTCTCCATGAACGTGATCATTGAACTCCTCTTCATTTTGAATGGCAGCCAGAAACAAATTGTGAAAAATCTGCCGGAAGAGCCCATTGCAGTGTTTGGGAAGCCACCCTTATGCTGCATTTTTGGGTGGGGTTGCTGTGCGCAAAAGGTACAGCTGTGGCACCTCCGCTTTTTCGTAATGGGCTTGCAGCAGTTCACGGTGATTCTTCCGATAGTGGGAGTGTTTGATGCCTTTAACGAGCCCTTTGCGGAGAGCGGCTTCTTTGCAAAGATTGACAAGGCCTTTGGGATTATCGTGACCGTGAGCACGTTGCTTGGCATGTGGAGCTTCAAGTGTCTCATCCCTTTGATGACGGATTCTGTTCGCACTCGCACCGCCTCCAAGAGCAAGCTGGATTCCATGGAGCAGTTCCTCTTGCTGCAGATGTTGTTCTCAAAGCTAACAGACAAGCTGTTGCCCCTGATCGTGAGAGTAGATTTGCATGCAGAGAGCTGGACCATGCCGAATTTCCTCTTCATTCAAGTCATTGCAGGCTTCTTGACCTGCGTCATTCAGCTATTCCTGGCAAGTCTAGGCCTTCATGCTTATGAAGCTGGCACGGAGTTGTATCCCCCTGTAAATTTCGGGGCAGATCTGCCTCCAGATACCTTGGCCCTGCTGGACATGGATGGGATTGACCCCGACAAGTGGGTTCGTCTGCAAGAGCTGCAAGAAATTCGGCCGTCAAGCACGGCGGCACCTTCAGCGCCATTACTTCTCGGCAATCTCAGGGGAAATGTCCCCCCCAAAATGTCTGAGAAGTTAGACGCTGCTGCAGACGCTGCAGACGCTGCATAAACTGAGCAACGCTGAGGATGTCCCTTCACGTCTGCTGGATTCTCTGAAAAACTTGACCTGAGGGGTGGATGGAAAGCCGTAGCTGTACCGCTTTGTTATTGGCCGTGCTGTTGCTGGCCATAAGTGCCAGTGAAAGCAGCTGCGGGATTTTGTTGTGTGGCCATAGAAAGCTGCACTTGCATCACCGCAGCCCGAAGCCTGAGTTTTAAGGAGAAATGCGGTTGCGGTCTCTGCTTCCGCTTTGGACCATGGTCCCCCTCGAGCATCTTGCAGTGCTTCTCGCAGGGTATCGTTTTGAGCTGACGCCGATAAATCTCTGTCAATGGTGGGGCAAAGATGACATAGCATATGACATTCCCATCCAGGCAGTGGCAAGACAATCTAACCATCAGACAAATGTGGTAACTCAGAAAGCACATGAAGCATTCAATCGTCGCAATCTTGGCTCTTGTAGCCTGTCTATCCCCGGGGCGGTGATGGATAACTAGTTACAATGGCGCAAGCAGCCGAGAAAGCTGATGGCTTCACGCGGTCAAACGCGCTCTATATGTTTGAGAGCCCACCCGAGTCCTTGCTTGGGTTTTGGATAGTTGGCAGTATTTGCGCTGCACTGGCTGTTGGCGCATCAGTCTACAACATCAGGCTACACATAGCAGCTGCCAGAGCGCAAGGCTTTGGAGAGGATGAGCTCATCTCATCCTACGGTGCACGAGACACTTGGCTGCATGTGCTTGCTTGGCAGTTCATTACTTCATGTCGTCTGGGCATACTGCTGGCTGGCAGGCGAGCCGTGTGATAGCCTTGCTCCTTATGCCCGTGACGTTTTCAGTGACGGCCGCATTGCAGATGTTCTTACCGGGGGCAGCTGAGCTTATGTCCTTACTGCGCACCTGTCAGCTGGCAGTCTCCATGAACGTGATCATTGAACTCCTCTTCATTTTGAATGGCAGCCAGAAACAAATTGTGAAAAATCTGCCGGAAGAGCCTATTGCAGTGTTTGGGAAGCCACCCTTATGCTGCATTTTTGGGTGGGGTTGCTGTGCGCAAAAGGTACAGCTGTGGCACCTCCGCTTTTTCGTAATGGGCTTGCAGCAGTTCATGGTAATTCTTCCGATTGTGGGAGTGTTTGATGCCTTCAACCAACCCTTTGCTGACAGTGGTGTCTTTTCAAAACTTGACAAGGTCTTCGGGATCATTGTGGCTGTAAGCACTCTGCTTGGCACGTGGAGCTTCAAGTGTCTCATCCCTCTGATGACGGAGTCCATCAGTTCCACAGTGGTGAGTCAGGCAAGCCTGAATGCTATGGAGCAGTTCGTTGTGCTCCAGATGTTAACCTGTAGACTTCTTGAAAAAGTCTTGGAACTGATAATTAGAGACGATCTGAAAGGCCATAGCTGGGTGATGCCCAACCCTGCTTTCGTGAAAATTGTCACTGGTTTCATTACTTGTATTTGCCAGCTCGGTCTAGCCATTACTGCGTTGTGGTCCTATTCGGCGAACACCGCCATGTACCCGCCCGTGAACTTCAATGCTGATCTCCCCCCTGACACTCTGGCAGTGCTTGACATGGGTGGCATTGACCCAGACAAGTGGCATCGACTCAGAGAGCTTCGAGATGCTGTAGCTACTGTAGCTGCAGCACCACTGCTTGCGGAGAATGCTGGAGCAGACGGAGCCTCCAGTGAGGAGTCATCAACAGAATATAGTTGTGCCTAGTCTGAGGTGGTCGCGTTAACCTATGTTGACTGAGCGTCTTTGTGTAGTCTTTCCCAGGCACGCTTTGGTTACCTGATCGTTTGTTTCGCTGCGAAGCTAAAATGGGGCGCAACTGCGGACCTTGATGTTTGGAAATCATCTTCCACCTGCCAAAGCTGGCTGCGGCCCAGGGTGAGAACAATGTGCCTGCCGTGGCTTTCTTTGGTTGGCCCGTGCTGCCGTTCCTGCCACGGCCGCAGTCCAGGCTTCTTACTTATGCCGCTTGCTCGCAATAGATGCAAAGTCACACGCATATGTACGCTTACGTACACTTTTTGCGCGCAAGCCCTGTCTGTATGTCTTTCTGTCTGTCTCCTCCTCTCTGTTTCTCTCTCCCTCTCGCTGTCTCTCTGTCCTCTCTCTCTCTCTCTCTCTCTGTCTCTGTTGCTTCAGAACGCCCAGGCCTTGATCAGGTGCATTGTTTTGCTTGTAGCTCCGGAAGCTCCGAAGTGCATTGGCGATTCAACTTTTGCCACGTCTCTCTCAAATTGTCTGAGAGGTGGGGCAGGGAATCGACCTGCCACATATCCCGTCTCCCTCGAGCGAGGATGTGGAACACTGGCACAAGGCAGGGCCTGAGGTAAATGGACAACATGTACGCAAAAAGTCCTTCCAGCTTTGTTGGTCACAAGATCACTACCCGCTACCCCTCCGTCAGCTCAATGCATGTCGTTTTCACTGATTTCTGCAAAGCCTGGCATTCATGTTCCAGAGCTCACGCGTGGCTTCGCAGTAGAGTGTACAGGAGTTAAGGAACCATTTCACGCTGAGGGCACAGACTTCCCTTTGTTTGAGGTATATATGGAAGGCTTGCAGAAGCTCTTCGAGGAGAGTAAGGCGCAGAGAGACGTGGCTTGCACTGTTGTTGTGTAATGAAGTGTGATGTATCCGCAGGCAGAGGCTGGCTACCCTGACGCGCAGCTGGAGATTTTGTGAAGTGAGTTCCTTTCTGACACACCCATGGTGAAGACATTACGTTGCATTTAAGACTCCAGGGCTCGTACAACGTATGACACAGGCGGTGCTTTCAACTCTGAGCCCCAATGCAGGGATGATGCGGTCATCCAAGCTCTGGGTGTGTCTTCGAGCGTTATGCTCGACCGACTTGACCACTTACAGATTCGATCGAACTGTAGCTCGTTTTATCCTTTCTGCTGATAGCTTCTGACCCGAAAGCAGCATCAATGGAGCCGAAGCCTTTCGGAGTTGCGCAGGAGGTGGTGGACAGTTTGTCGACGATTATATAGATTCGTCCAAATTAATTGCAGTCCAGCTGGCAGTATCCCTGGGCCCTGCGCAGCACATTCGTTGAACAGAGGAGCCCTTTGAATGCCCCCTCCGGAAGTTCGCTGTGCTGACTCAGTTCACTCTTCACTCTCTGTTGATAGCAGATGGGAGCATTTGTACCTTGCCCGAACACGTCAGCATCGCGATCCACCATTTATGTAGATTCTCCACTCTAGACTTTAGAGCATCCGGCAGGAGCCCTGAGGGTTCTTGCGAGAGATGGCACTACGCCATAACTTCGGTACGAAATGGGATGCCACTTTCTGATGGGAAGCCTCGCGCTTGAGGCAGCATTGGGTGCGACGTGTTATTAGTCTGGGTCAGTGCGTTTGCCCTCTTCCCGACTTGCATCTCATAAAGATTTGCATTCTGTCAGGGCATCTGCATTTCCACCTGCAAAAGCAGACCAAGGTGAAGTCATGGATGTATGGGCTCCTAGCCCACCTTATCATCGTCCCGGCTTGGGTCGTTCCACCAGGCCAGTTCTATTTTTCTCCGCGAGGTAGAAGAGGTAAGTCGCATGGGCGTGAGGACTCCTACTGGGCTCGCTGCTGACTGCTGGTGCTCCCTTCGGAGCCAAGGGCTTCCTTGCCACCATGGGCGACGGCCCCGGCAGAGCCTGTAGCACGGAGCTCATGCAGCTCTCGCTTGCATGTTCCGACTGGCTCCAATGCACATCAGGCGCGGGGGCAGGGCTCATGGCAGGGCCCAAGTCTCTGCGACCCGTCGCAGCCTCATTCGCAACAACTCCTCCATCAGCATTCAGGAGAGATGTTGGGTGAGGCCGTTGTGTACACCCCGTGGGTGACCTCTGTTTTCGCCAGATTTTTAGACGAGCTCCCGGAAGTGGAGCAATGTTCAGGACTGCTGAGGTGCCACGGTCACGTTCACTGGATTGGGTAACCCATTCGTTTACGTGGAAGGAGGCTGAATTTAAAAGCTGTTGACACGCTGCCAAGCACCTCACGAGTTTCAATTGAGGCTTTGTGCGTGGGTGTCTTCTGTCTGGCAGCAAGCTCTGGCAACCGCATCGCGGCTTGGCCTTAATTGCAAGAGGACTGCGGCCTAATCTATCTGCACGCAACAGGCATTGTTCGATTAGGTCACAGCAGAAGTATTGCATACCCTGCACAAGGCAATAGCTGCCGCGATTTTTGCCTCATTCTTGACGTGGCTGGTGACTCAATCAGGCTGGCTGAGACGAAGGGTCAAGGATTTTTTTGGTTTGTGAGTCGAGTGTCTTCCGAGCAGTGGCCATCATTAAGTCCCCGCACGTACAGTGTACAGGAACCATCATCTCTCCAAGACCTTGGTTCTTCCGCTTCATCAGCACGTACGCAAAGGCAAGCTGCTGCAAGAATGATGAGCATCCGTGCCAAGTGAAGGTATGAACACTTTGATCTTTCATGATCTTTCTAAATATACCAGGACTATTACACTGAGACGGGACTACGCGGTGCCCTGGACGACATCCAGCCCACAAAGAGCTTTTTTGGCTTCCACCCACATGGAGCCCAAGCTGAAGTGTTCATTCGCATGTCGCATGGTTCAATGCTTCATGCTACTTCCTTACTTCCTTTCAGGATGTCTGTCTGCTGGGTTTACGATCAACGGCACCTACAATCCGGACTTCATGCGAGCTGCCAAGCGCATGGCATGGCTGTGTGACAACACCCTCAGGCGGGGCCCTCCACGCAACAATGGCCATCAATAGTTCGGTCTGGACGGCCTCACATCTTTTACACCTTGTTTACGAACCGGCCCTCAGCTAGGTAGCCTTGAAGAATCTCATGTTCATCAAGTCGCAGACTCGCGCGCATTATGGGTTCAGTTGCAAACGTTAGAGCATCAAGACTTCCACAAAATCGCCCCATTGCCACTTTCAAGTGCAGGCACAAAAACCCCGGCTTCCGGCTCATGTGCGAGGCATACCAAGCTGAGGACCTGTAGCGCAGTAA